GGCGCGCGTCTGGCCGCCCCCTGACGCCGCCCTCCTCCCGCCCGCTGTAGTTCGGCCTCTGGGCCTCGTGGCTGGCCTGGCTGGCCATCACCGTGCTGGCCTTCCTCAAAGTCTACCACAACTACCGCCAGGAGGACCTGCTGGACAGCCTGGTCCACGAGAAGGAGCTGCTGCTGGCGCGCCCGGGCCCCCGCGCCTCCGTCCAGGAGGAAAAGAGCGCGGTCATCTAGGCGGCCCCGGGCGCCCCCACCGCCTGTGGCGCACGCCCCGCGCTGGGGGAGCAGCGGGGGGTCTGCCTGCGCCCCCACAGGGCCCCACAGCCTTGCGTGTCCCCCCCCCCGGCACTGAGTGTCGTGAGTGACCCCGCTCACCCGGGCACCCCATTCCCACTGTACTGGGCGGGGGCTGGCTCTCCCTGGGGGCAGCACAGAGGACCTGGGGCCGCTGGGACCTGCCCAGGGAGACCCGGCTGGCGAGGCGGGTGGGAGGGCGCCCACCCTCTCAGACCCCTCTGGCCATTGGGTCCAGCCTCCGCCCCTGCCCAGGTGTCATTCTGTTCACGATCCTGTGGCAGCACCGTGTCCCCAGAGTGACCCCACCAGCCCACAATGGCCACATGTCACCTTGTCAATTGTTCCTGAGTGGTGCATGGGACAAGAACCCTGTGCGTGACCTGGGAGCAGGGGTGAGTGCAGGAAGGACCTCAGGTGTGTCCCTGCCTTCTGACCCTGGGCAGCCCCCCAGGACTGTGTCCCCTCTGTTCCCGCTGCAGGGCCCCCAGGTGTCCANGTCCCCTCTGTTCCCGCTGCATGGCCCCCAGGTGTCCAGCCCTGTTCTCGGTGACGGTCGTTTGGCCTGAGCTCAGGTGGTGGCTGTGTGGATGTCCCGGGGAGCATCCCATGTGGGTGTCCTGGGCAGCTGCAGTGCCTGGGTGGGGGTGGAGAGCGCCTTGTGGCCTGGCCCCGGCCTTTGTCTCACTGCATGTGGGCTGGGCCTGAGCTGGTGGGAGGGAAAGACCAGGTACCATGCAGGAGTCTGTGTGCGTGTGAGGGTGTGAACGTGGGTGTGATACTAGTGTACATGTGAGAGTGCATGTGCACAAGTGTGCTCATATACAACTTGTGTGAGTGTATGCGTGTGAGCATGTGAGTGTGCATGAGGGTGGTGCACATGTAGAAGTGTGTGAGCATGTGTGTACACACATGTGAGTGTATGCATGTGAGCATGCNGTGTGATACTAGTGTACATGTGAGAGTGCATGTGCACAAGTGTGCTCATACACAACTTGTATGAGTGTATGCGTGTGAGCATGCGAGTGAGTGTGCACGAGGGTGGTGCACATGTAGAAGTGTGTGAGCATGCGTGTACACACATGTGAGTGTATGCATGTGAGCATGTGAGTGAGTGTGCATGAGGGTGGTGCACATGTACAAGTGTGTGAGCATGCGTGTACACACATGAGTGTGTGCATGTGAGCGTGCGTGTGCGTGCATGGGAAGGGGTGGGCCGAGACCAGGACAAGTGTGGACACGTAGTGCTCTGGCAGTTCCTCTGCACCTCCATCCACTGGGGAGCCTGGTGCCCCGGTGCCCTGGTGCCCAGGGGGTTGCCTTCCCATCGAAGACCCAGAGGGCACGGCGCTGCCCACACAGGGCATGTGGAGCAACCCCTCAAGGGGTTCCCTGGCCTCCCCACCTACATACCGTCCTCTGTATCCTGTCTAGGAGGGGGCACCCGGGGTGTGAGAGCACCCCGCCCCTGGCTCTCTAAGCAACATTGGCTTCCTGAGCTGCCACACGTGCGCCAAAGCTTGTTTCGCTGCTGCTCCCCACCCTCGGGGGAGGAAGACCCCGCTCCCCACGTCCGTGTCTCTCACTGCCAGTGACGGGTTTGGTCTCCCAGGCGAGGGGCACGGGGCCTGCAGAGGCCCTGGATCTGGGCCTGGATCGAGGTGCTGGAGGGGTCCATGGGCCGGGAGGTGAGGGGAGGCCACTCCTCATGATGCTCCTGTGCTAGCTGGGGCCAGGTGAGAGGGTCCTGGCATTACAGAGGTGCCCTGGGCCCAGAGCCCAGTGGGGTTCCAAGCAGAGCAGCGGATTTCTGGGGGGAAGGGTTTTGACGGAACCTGAGGCCCCCAAGCAGACCTGGTCTTGCCCTGGCCCAGCCAGCCAGCCCTCATCCGCCAGCTGTGGGGACCCTTGCCAGCCCCTGTGGCCCCTCATCTGTCGCTGGCAGAAGGTGGGTGGCTCTGCCTCCGTCCCCCCAGCAGCCAGCTGGGCTAGAAGGGGGAGCAGGGCCTTCTGGAGCCTGAGGGTCCACCAGAGCTTCGGGTCTGCCCTGTGGACTCTATGAACCGGTCGGGGCAGCCCCTCGATCAGGGTTGCAGAGACTTGCGTCCGCTCACTGCCGATCACCGCAGAACAGGCCGGCTGCCCCGGCACCTCGACATCCAGGCCTTGGGGCTTCCAGGAAAGGGGCAGCTGGGCCCCGGAAGAGGTGATGGGACAGGAGCCATGTGCCCTTGCAGTGGTCAGGGGAGGGCCCTCCTGGGGTGGATGGAAGGGCAGGTGGGGCTCCTGACGTGGGGCCACCCACCGCTTCTCCCTGCTGTTTGACAATGAACATCCGCGTTTTAATTCTACTTCTGGCTAAACTGAAAGTAAAGATTCTTAAACTTAAATGCATTTATTTCTCAAATTCAAAATAAAAACACATACCAAGCCCTCCTAGGTGGCTGTGTTTCAGCCCCCCTTTCAGAGTTTCATCCACTTGTCACCAAGGGTCAAAACCGCCTTTGTGCTGCTCCTGGGGTTCACCCCGAGCCCCTCCCCCGCATCTGCACAGGCCCTGGGGGGCCCAGCCCACTGCGCCCGGTGGGCTCCTGAGGCTGAAGACAGAGGGTCCGGTCATTTCTCAGGCTGATTGTGTCCGCCCGGAGCTGTTTTTCCCCAGAAACGATGGTGTCACAGTCTGTGGGCTGCAGAGCCAGCACATCTGCCGTAGTCTCCGCAGTGACCAGCCCTCGGCCGCGAGGACGGGCTGCCTTGTCCCTCCCTGCAGGTGCGTCCCCAGATAGGACAGGGCTGCACAGGCTGAGCCCGGGGACTATGCTTGCCGTGAGCTTGGGCAGGTGACCCGACCTCTCTGAATCTCAGTTTCCTCATCTGGAATATGGGGTGACAGTCTGCCCATTTCTTCAGGGGGTGTGGTGAGATGAGGTGAAGTCCTGGGGGGCTGGGCTGGTGTGCAGTCGGGGGGACTATGATGCTGAGGGTCCCTGAGGACCAGGTGTGGGTCCACCTTTAGGCCACAGGTCCCTCTCTGTTGGGCCTCCTGCTATGGGATCCCCAAATTATGAAACCAGGAGGGGCCCTGGAGATGCTGAGATGAAGGCTCAGTGTCCCCACCTCTGCTCTGGCCACTGATGTGAATCCTATACAGATGGGTCCCCATGTCTCTCTCTGGGTGAGAGCCCCAGGGGAGAGATTTTAGTAGGGGCCCCTTTTCCTAATGGAGCTTCCGCCTCCCAGTGGACCCCGGCCTGTGACACAGGAGAGGCTGTGCTGACAGGAGTGGGCCTCGGACCCCGTGTCTGACCTGAACCCCTGGGGGCCCGGCCTACAACCCCCTTAGTCCCGGGTTCACCCTGCGCTGCTCCAGCCCCTCCCTGGGCCCCCTGCCCGCCCTGCCCGCCGGGCTCGGGCCTGGTGCCCTCAGAGCTGCAGGAAGCAGTGCCAGCAGGTGAGCAGCGCGTGCCGCAGGCGCAGGGCGAGGAGGAGCAGCCGGGCCCGGAGGTCCTCAAGGGCCAGCGCGATGGGCTTGTCCCGGCCGCAGTACAGGCCCAGCACCAGCACCAGCAGCACACACACCGTCAGCCGCAGGAGCAGGGAGCCGCGGGGCCTGGGCCGGCGTGGCGCTGGGGCGGACGGGCAGGTGAGCCCAGCCCGAAGCCCCTACCCCAGGAGCACCCAGGGCTCCCTCCTCCCCGCGGGGCTGTGGAGGCTGCAGAGAGGGCAGGGCTGGCACCCTGGCTCTGCCTGTGGGGTGGGGTCCCTGCGGTGACTCCATTGCCCCATGGGGTGTGGAGGTCCCCCCATCCTTTCCCGGGCCTCTGGGGGAATGTCCAAGGGTGGCCTGGGGCCGGGGCCGCTCTGGGCACTGCATGTGGGGTGTTGAGGGCCCCTGGGGAAGGCGGGGGGGGATCAGAACTCACCTTTGGTGGTGGGTGTGGGCTCCCTGCCTGCGATGTCTGGGGAGGAGAGGAGAGTGGGCTCAGGCAGTGAGGGCCCCCTGCTGGGGGCACCCCAGTGCTGCTCATCTCATTCCGCCCACCCAAAGGACCCACACTACCCCGCTTTACAGATGAGAGGTCCAGGCCACCCCACCCCCCTACCAGGCAGTCTGCCTGGCACCACCCAGGATCTGCCAGGCCTCGCTGCTTCAAGTTCACCCCAAGACCCTGGGTACTGCTCTCAGTCTGTGGGAGTGAGGACAGGGTGACCCCCAGGCAGTCTGGGGGCTACAGGGGTGGTGGGCCCTGGGAAGCAGGAGCAGGCACCTGGGGAGGGCCAGGCAGGGCCCCCACCCCCATTCACCCCCATAGCCCACTAGGGGACCCCAGACTGACTCTGGCTTGTCTGGGCCCTGATTCCCCATCTGTAGAGTCTCTGCTTCCTCCCTGGCTGGGGGAGTGTGAGGAGCGGCTTCTCTGTGGGGCCAAGGGCTGAACCCCAGAGGGTGGTGGCGGCGGGAGGGGTGGGGGGAGTTCCTGCTGAAGGGCCACTGGGGAGATGCTGTGTGTGTCAGGGCAGTGACTTTTACCCACAACTTGTTGGGACTCACGAAGCACTTTTCTTGGGGGGCTGTGGCAGGCAGAATCTAAGAAGTCCCCATGATTCCCACCCCCAGTGTCCTCGCCTTTGTGCCATCCCCTCCGCTTGGTGGAGGGGCTGCCACTCATTTCTACCCAACAGAGTGTGTCTAAGGGGGTGGGCTCCTGTGGCGTGATGACGGCCCCCCGTCAACTCTGATTCAATTCAGAGGGAGATTCGCTTGGGTGGGTCTGACCTAATCAGGTGAGCGCTTTAGAAAAGGGCCTGATGGTGGTCAGAGAGCAGCAGCCACGAGCCTCGAAGGTGTAGCTGCTGTGGGTTCTACAGCTGCAAGGAAATCAATTCTGCAAACGACCCGGTGAGCCTGGAAGAGGCCTTGAGCCTCAGAAGAGACCTGAGCCGAGGACCCCCCCACGGAACCCCAGGCCGGCTGGCCCTGTGCCCCTCTTACAGTGGACGGCCACCTCCAAGGGCTCACGGAACCTCACACGCCTCGAGGTCCTCTGTAGCCCGGGCCTGGGGCCACGGCGCTCCGGCTGGCTTCGTCTCAGGATGGAGGGGGGGCACTTCCTGTCGCCCTCCTGGGGAGAGGGTGGGGAGCAGGTGGAAGTGAGCCCCCCCCACCCCCCTTGGACAAGGTGAGGGAGCTGAGCACGAGGCCACTGGAAGGGAGGGCAGAGCCTGGACGCTCGTGCCCGCCCAGGGCCCGCCTTACCCGCCCTGGCCTGGGCGCTGGCGCGCCCGGAGCGGGCTCCGCATTCTTCCTGGTCGGCTGTCGCGTCTCTGGCCGGGAGTCGGGGCTCAAGGCTCGCCCCGCCGTCCTCATTTACTGTGACATGGTCCTAGGGGGAACACAGGCAGCATTTTTGCACAAGCGACACACACGGGGATGAAGCGAAAGGGGGGGACTATCCCCAGGGAGCTGCCCCTCCCGCTGGCACCCCGTTCCGGCCTCAGCCTTAGTGCCTGCCGGTTGCTCCGAGGCCGCGCGGCCCCGGCCGCCGCCCGGGTAGGGCCTGTGCTCGGGGAGCCTGTGCTTTATCATTGTCACCTGCAGGGCCTGGGGTCACAGGTAAGGCTGCGGGAAGCATCTCTGCCTGCCTGCCCCGACTCCGCAGCCCCTGATTGCGGCCAGGCTCCTGGGCGCCCCTTTCTCTTCTCGCAGCCCCTCTGGGGTGAATGTCCTTTCACACCCTTTGAAGGGTCCTTGACTTTTGAGGCTTCCCCCGGCCCTGCTCGGGGTGCAGACCCTGCCGGGCACCCGTGCAGGTGCAGGTGGAGGGGGCCAGGCACTGACCATCCGTCCTGTGGGTGCCCTGGGCGGTGATGGGCTCATACCCTCAATGCACATGTGGGAAGTGGAGGCCCGAGGCGGCTGGGGCTGCCTCTGGGGGTGCACGGGGAGCTGCAGG